GAAAGCTGCAGACACCTGTACCAAAACCCAAGCTCAGATGAAACTCTGTCGTAGTAACATGCTTGGCATGACTCTTAATATTTCTTGTTAAGATGCTTTTCTTGGGGTGTTACTGAATCTTGATGCGCAGAGAGCACAAAAACTGTTCTTCCAGTAGAGAAAACAGAGCACTTGGAAAGAAGGCAGGCCAAAGGAGACAGCATTCACACGTTGTCCCACTAGGGCTTTAGGGAGCATAGTCTGTGCAGAGCTTTAGAGGCAGCTTTCCTTTTCCAGGTGATTCTGTTCCATTAGGAGAACTTGATATTTAATCCGAGTTGCAAGGAAATGCTTTTAGATGTTGCATAAAAAGGTTAAATGTAATTCATGTTCACTCTTGTTTATTCAATACTAGTGAAGGTCCTTCCCTGCAGACATAGGGCAGGCATGGAAAAGCTGTATAGTAGCTCATTCCAATGTAGTGCTGCCATGTGAGTTGCACAACCTGTCCTTTTACCATCTCTAGATATGACCTAGTGGTGGAGATTCCTGAAAAATGACTTCAAATGCCACAACTTGAAGTTTCCCATAGGTAGAATAACTCTGGGAACACAGTTACAATAGCCAGGATGTATCTCAAGCAGAACTTCTTTTGTTGCAAACATACAATTCTTAATGATTTCTCCAAGTATGTAATAGAAGGCAAAATTGTTTTTTTGGCATTCAAGAACAAAAAGCGATGATAATAAAATGTCTCTTTAGTTGTCTAGCATGGGTGGCTAATTAAGGTGACAGGTCATGGAGTCTCAGCATTTGTATGCTTTTAAAAAGGGAATTATACACTCAATAAACACTGCTAGGTATCTGATTCTTTAGTATTCAGGAAGGCCTGATTCCCAAGCTGAAAATCCTATTAATCATTCGGAAGTTAAATATTGATTCTAGCAGGTATATAGTAAAAGAGCCTTTGATTTAAGTCATTCAAGTGACATACACACACTGTATGAATAAACCATACACAAAACCTGTGTCTGGCTGCAGGTAAGGAGGACTCCTTCCTCCTTATGTGAAAAAGTCTCCAAAAGCCATAGTTCAGAAAGCCATGAATGTCTGGAGAGCTGTGGTCCTGACTAATTGATGTATGTAGGAAACAAGGCAGTAAAGAAATTATTTTGTATAAAATCACTTCTGTTGTCACCCGTCAAAACATTTTATTTCCTTCAAAAGGATATTTTGACTTTTTGAGGTAATTAACTGTAAGGAGACAGACTTATTCTTTATCTGACTATATTCAACTAAAAATTGTGTAATGTGCTATGAGAGACAAAATTAAATACGCTTTTTAGTTGCTTATAATCATCTGATCTCTCCTAAAGTAAGAAAGTGCTTGCACTGTGCTTAAAAAAAGTCTCTCAGGATTATCAATATGGCTTTAACAAATGACTAGTGTTATCAACAGAGACTTTAAGTGCAGAAGGCTCTACTGTAATAGACTTGTCTGACTTGGATAACAAACTCTTTAGTATTTGAGCCCATAAATCCTGAAGAGAAAGATACCATTCTCTTAGGTCACTGAAAAACCTTACAAGAGAATCATTGTTTGCAGAGCTCCACACAGTTAACACAGTACTAGTTAATGATTTCACCATAGCAATTACTTTCTATGATCTGTCAATCAGGCAATTTTAATGTGTTTAGTACGGGACACATTAATTTAGTGCAGTACTAGTATTTTGCCTTGTTTCATGCTGTCTGCCTGTCAATCAGCCGATAACAAGTTTTGAGTCTATGGACCAATTTCAGCCAAAGTTGAGGAGGAAATTGTATTTAAACATCAAACATACTTAAAATCCTGCAGCTTTTGTGAATATTGGCAAGTGGGTAAAGAGACGATCACATGAATGCTCCCATGGGGAAAAGGTTTTGGTACAAGCTCAACTGTTACCATTTCTGTAAGGTATGCTAGAGCACCAGTTAGTATTTGCCTAGTTCAGAAATTTTACGTCATGTGCTACCTCTTGTCAAGTAAGCAGTTAGGGGATGTGAGATGGACTAAGGAGTACGTGCAAATGGTAGCTGGGTGTTGAATTGGGTTGAGTCATACCCTGCACGGGGCTCATTCTAAACTAGCAGTTCAAGAGCTTTATTCCCTGGCGGCATCAGTGATTTGTTTGTGTTTTACTCGAGCAGGACTCTAATAATACCTCTTTGGTAAAGTAGAGAGAAGGCAGGTCTACCTTATAGTTTTGGGTTGTAATTGGAAAGGCACTGATCCTCGTCAAATTGCTTTGGTTCCTGCGTCTATTATTTTGGTGTTCTCAGCACCTCAAGAGCTAGAGATTATGCAAAGACTAGACTTCTTTAAACACGAGTTCAGTGAGTATGCTTGCCAACGTTTCTAAAGGACTGGCTGACACTGGAGTGCTGACATTGGTTTCAATTAGTGTGTGATAAGTCTCTTTGTTGTTGAAAGCGTCATGGTTAATGGTATAAATAGGCAGAGCAACGGGCTAATAAAATGTAAAGCGAAATAAAATCATTTTTAATGTTTTTAGGAACTGGGTCATGACTTTTTTCAGCACAACAGTTGGAGCCACAGCTTGGAGAAGCTTGAGAACGTCTGTTATTTCTTTTGGAAGATACAAGAACATTGAGTAACTCACACCTTTGAAATTCCAGTGTGGGGGAGGATGCCAACTCATCTCAACACAAAGCTGATTTATTCAGGTTTTGGAGAACATTTGACTAGTTCATCCTTTAGGTCTCTCGTAATTCAGGCACAAATGTTCTTTGAAGGGAAGCTTTGAAAAGAAAAGCTTTTTCTCTTGTGTGACTAATCAATGAGGTTAGTCCTTCCTTCCATCTGATTCCAGAAGGAAAGGCTAAAACGTCTTACAAATTTGCAATACACACCAGTTAATTTTGCATATAAACTTACTTATTTCCTCAAATACATAAAGTCATTGTCTTTAAAAAAGCTGGAAGAAACCGAATTACAATAGAACTGTGGAACTTGAGTGAATTTCTTCTGTATAGCTTAAGTGTCTGTTACCAAACCAACCATCTTATTATATTTTTGAAATATATTTTTTGAAATATATTTTCTTCTGTAACAAGCCCTAGGAGTCAGCAAGAGTCCATGAGAACTGAGAATATTTCTTACCATTACCACTCCTATAATGTGTGCATATGTGTTACACCCTGGGCATATACATCACAAAACATAATTGAAAAATCTTCTCTTTTTTTATGCTTGAAACTCTTTGTTGGTACAGAATCTTTTTTCATGACCCATAAATATGCATTCTTTGTGCCAGCACACACCAAGGGCTGTATGTTTTACAAATGCACTCAGATCCTCAGCCAGCCTCTTAGCTAGCACCAGCTAAGAGGCTTGTTTTCTGCGTTTGTGGAAAAGGTCTCAGTAGCAGCCTTTTGAGAGTGAAGACTCCTGGACAGGCTTTGAATATGACAACACAGGCTGATGTACCTGAAATAACAAAGCAAGCACATTATTTTTAATAACAGACTTTGTGTGTACTAAATAAGGATGTGGTGGGGGGGGAGAGTAGAAGGGGTAATGTGGAAAGAGATGTGGTCTCAGTGATAAGAGATAGCATGAAGATTAGAAGAACTATCTTTGGGTGTGAGAGAGGAGATAGCATAGGAAATAGAGAAACATAATGAGGCTGCAGACTGGAAGCAAACGAAGAGTAGAGGTGTGAAAGGGGAGCTTGAAACAAGGTGCAGGAGAGGGAGTGACCCAGCGGGCCTGGATACTGCAAGAATAATCTGGTATCAACATCCTTTCAAGTCCGACTGAAGTTGGTCCCCTGCAGGTTGCCACAATCACATCTACGTGCTTAAAGAGACAAGTGAAACCCTCCTATTTGAGCATTCCTTGGTCTTGAAGAGGAAATATGTTGAAATATGCTTATAGGATAATGGAAAGATAGTATAATACTCCTGGAAATGTTGTTGGCTCACATCTGCCGAGGTTAGTGTACTGTGCTCTATGTACGATAACAGTTCTGCACTTCATTCCTATTTTCCTCTCTGGACAAGGTGTCTATTTAGACTACATCTCCCATGACAAACACGTAAACCTGCAAGTACTGTATACGGTAGCAGTTTTAGCAGATGGGAGACTACAGTCCTCCTTCAGAAAGATAATCCATTGAATGGAATATGGTAGTTGAACAACAACTCCCTAGAAGCTCTACAACAATTCACACGTGAAAAGACTAGTTTTAGATTAACCCAAAATAAGGCAAACTTAATATCAATTCAGTTTAACCTAGACTAACACATTTTGTTCTACTTTTCCTAACAGAACAGAAAAATTTCAGAAGAATTATGATTTGGATGCTTGATTTTTCAGGGAAATAAAACATCTTGTAGAGCATTCCAGACTTTCTTTATATCAAACAAAGTATGTGTAATTTAGATTAGATTTAGTAGAAATGAGGAAATGTCAGATAACCTATATTTTTTATTTTTCATGTTCTTTGCCTTTTCTGGTTCCTGTTTTTTTTTAGTGTGGCTTAGTGAATTTTTCACTTCTCTTGCATCTACAACATTCGAACTTGTCCAGTTTTTCCTTCTGACTCAACAATCAGTATTTCTCTCCCGATGTTTTTCCCTCACTCGCTTCCTGTACCTCACTGTGATGTCCTGTCAGTCCCCTGTCATTTCTATACTTCTTTTTTTTTCCTGTGTTCTTCATCTTTCCTTCCCTTTCCTCTTCACCAAGTTCTGTCTCGCATGGTTTTCTCAAGTTACTTAAACTGCAGTTCTCCTCTTCTCATTCTCTGTCTCAGTCACATACTCAGTTATGTTTTCTCTCACATTACTAGGAAGCAGGCCTTTCACTTTCCTTCCCTCATCACTCCATTCAGTGAAGCCATGATTTCCTTTTTCTAAATCAGGATTTCTGTTTTTTCCTCAGTTATTTTTTTCTTCCAACTTCAACTTTGCCCCCAAGAGAAGGAATGAGATAGTATTTTTTGCCCCTTGGATGGCATTCCTCCCTGAATGAGGAAGGTTATTTCTGCTCTTGATAGTGTTTAGTCATTAACAAAGAGAGTTTGCTTTGCAAATATTTGTCAATAGTTTAGTTAAATAGTAACAAAAGGTAAACTGTCGGATTACAAAGCCGAAATTCCTTCTTGTGTGGCAGTTTAGGTTATACATAAAAGGGAAGATCTGGAATTAGTGTAAAATATTTAAAGGAAGGCTTTTTAGCATGAACAAGTATATATGCTAAAAGAACAATTACAAAAATATTTCTGTTATTAAAAAGTACATATAACGACTAGAAAATAAAAGTTACAAATTACCTTATTAATACTTTAAATGTATATATATTTTAAAACTAACTGAAAGAATACACCCATTAGACTTAAGACAATACGAAGCTTATTTTTCCCCAGAGAAACAGAAATCATGGCCAGAGTACAAGACTAGAGATAATTAGAGATTTGTTTCTGCTGTACCTCCCAAGGTAGGGCTTAATCCTACAGTAATCTCTTTGCTGAGAGCCAAGTGTTAGTCATGGAGCCGGCTACATGGATTTGAAACTAGCATTTAGCCCATATTTTTGGTATCTGGAAGGAGTTGTCCTATGAATTTGTATTCTACATTGTTTTAAAGAGGTACCTTGATATGTTTTTTCATTTTATCCTGCAGTATCATGCAATAGAAAGGGTAGGCATGGCTTCATGCTAGTTTTGTTAGCTTATGTTGTGACATAAAGACTCGTCTTTTATGATCAGTAAACCTCCAGAGCCATTCTGTCTTTTAGCACAGAAATGTGGTTTGTATTGGGCATATGATGAATGGCACACTCTGTGCATGTGTATAAACTGATTATCCCAGAACAGTTTTGCCTTTGAGCATTTCAGCAGTGTGTTCCTCCATTGTTAAGTGTGCTTCAAGGATAAATGCCCTTTACCCAATGAATCTGGGGTTTATTCGAGTGTGGTGAGTATTAAGCAAATTGACTTCCTACCTTTTTTGGTTTCCAAACTGTGGTTTGTGGGCCTGCTGCAAGCTGGTTTGTTCTTTCAATTCCCAGGTTAGATGGGAAAGAGAAAATCAGCAAAGAGAGAGAGGGAAAAAAAAAACGTGCTGTGGTTAATTTTGTTTAAAAAAAGAACTAAAGGTTAGATCCACAAATGGAATTTTATGTATGTAAGGTTAAAATTTACACTCAGCTGCAGTTTCGCATGAAAGAATCCATAATCTAGAGCTACCTATTTCTCTGATAATAAAGTCCCCTCACTGCATGTAGCCTGCCCAGGGGTACCTCAGACTTGATGGTGCTGGGGAGCTCAGCGCCTCTCTCATTCATCTACATTCCATCGAGGTTCACAGATGAGGTATTTGCTTCCTATGTGGAAATTAATCCAGCAGTCATTCTTAGAGCTCACTTAGCAGCACAGGCTCCAAATGAAATACAGCCATCTCAGGGACTGGTAGTGGTACCTCCTAGAAGAGGAGATATGGGGTACTCCAGAGGCCTGGGAGAGCCGCAACAATACATAACAAAACAACATGTGGGTGCCTGATTCTTACTCAACTGTGTAAATTGGATTCCAGCCTGGAAAGAGAAGTGGGTAGTTGAAACTCGAGCCTCTCTACAGGGATCTTCAGAAGGAGAGGGTGTCCAGGTGACCCAAGGCAGTGGTGGCCCATTCCTGCAGTCCAGCCTGAAAGAGGGCAGAGAGCATGTTTTGCTGCTTAGTGGGTTGAGATATTTGCTGTTTGTACTTAAAATGAAACTTTTTGTTCATTATCTTAGGCCAGCAAAAAGGCAAGAGTCGCCTGTACCCTTTCCCTGTGTATCCAAGGGCTTAATGATTAGCGTACTCATGCAGGTGGTGGGTACACAAAGTCCATTTCATTCACTGCTTGCAGGAATTTGAAAGGCAATGCTCTAATTGCAAGCCTATAAAGTGTCCTCATATTCTGCTTACTGAATTCCCTTTAGTGAAGTTTTGCATGGAATAATTAAATATGCATTGGATCAAGAAGAGGGAGTTTGTCACTTGCTGGTGAAAACACTCGCAAAGGAAAGGGAAGATGTGGATTCTAGTTCTGCTGAATAATTAGTATAGGACAGTTGCCAGAAGATGGACTAAAAGCTATGTGTCCTTCCTTGTGCAGGTCCAGCCACTAGGCTGTAGAGGTTACTCTCTTTACATGCAAAAATTAAAAATTGGGCCGTACAGTTGCATATTTTCATGCCGGGGCGATGAGCAGCTGCTCACTGCTGCTCCTGAGCCTGTAGCAGCGTGGTGGCGAGAGCGCTTTGGGCTCAGTGTTGCTGCATTAAAGGCGAGAGTCTCTGTGTTTGGTGGGGGAGGCAGCTGGTGGCATTTGCCCGTTTGTAGAAAGTGCTGGTTTCTTGACTCAGTGGTTTCTGCAAGAATGTACCTGTTCACCAGAAACTTCTCCCATATAAATGGAATTCCTTGTCAAAACCAAATTTGCAACGTAGCGTACGTAAGAGTTTGGACACTCATCCAAAATATAAGGGACAGTGGTCAAAATCAGTTTAATTTGAATAGAGCCTCTTTGATCTGTGCTGAATAACCTAAATGGTGAGCTGTTGGCTCTTCTGGAGCAGGCAGGTTTATCTCATTTTATTCCTGTAGGTTTTTAAAACATGTGGTGCCATCTCAAAGCAAAGCAAAATGGTTTTCTTAAACTCCCATGAATCTTCATAAAGGGGGAAAATGATCTATTCCTCTTTCTTGCCTCGCTCCAAGTAAAAACCAGCCAGAAGCTCCTGAATGTCTTTTGTTTCCAACAGGGGCTTAACTCTGCCCTCCTTTCCCCATGGGGACGGGAGGTAAAACCTTGAAGGAGCGCAGAAGAGGCTTCACAGAGCCCAAGTACCTAATTAGCCCTCAGCTGCACCTGGGGGTGTGAGACGCGTGGGTGGTGGGGCACGACTGCAGGGGCGCTGAGGGGAGGAAAACTCTCCACGGGGACACAGCTGGGGCTTGGTTGCAGGCAAACAACGAGATCCTTGCAAGCACCGTTGTGCAAAAAAAGACGGAGCTGGAGGCAGCCAGAAGCGACACTTGCCGGAGTCTGTTGTGTGGGGGCAGGCGGGGCGCCCCACCTCTCGTCGCTGTGAAGGGGAGCGGGCAGGTCCTGGGGGGCTAGCGAGCTGCCGGGGCTCTCGTTCCCTTCCTTGGTGCTTGGGGAGAGCTGGGAGCTATGGCTCCTGTGGCGTTCACACCAAATCCGGACCGCGACGCCGGTTCGCGCCGTCCGCCAGGATTTGGGTGGCAGCCTGGTGCGCAAAGGCCTTCTTTGCAGGTAGAGATTAGTTTGAACGCAGGGAAACGTTGCGTTTGTTTGGTTACTCGGAAAGGAAAGAGACTGAGCATTTGTGGCGGTGGTCACCAGAAGCAACCGTTTCCCTCCCTGAAGAGAGAGGTAGCAAGGTGTTGGCCTGCCCGTGGCGGGGTAGTAGGTGCCACCCGGCTTTGGTATAGCCGTTTGTGGGGCAGCGCTCCTTCCGGTTGATTCCTGGCTTTCACGAGTGGCGTCCTGACCTTCCCCCTCAGGTGAATGGCAGGCAATGCCCAGGTGTGTTGAATGAGCGCTTAGGGTTTCGTTTCTTCTTTCTAACAGCTGCAACAGAGGCTCTTCAGACTTTGCTTTGAGATTACGGCTGCCAACACATTTCTGTTACGGCTGGTGATCACGGGCTGTAGAGTTTATTTGCCCCGTTGGCTCTACTTGAGCCTGGAGTTTGGGACTCAGAGGGCTAGCTGGGCGTACGCCCCATCGGTCGCCTGTAAGTGATGAAGTGGTTTGGGTTTTGTTTTTTTCCCCTCTCTCTCCCCTGCCTAGTTCCAGCTAGCATGAAATGTTAAGAAGAGGCTCAAAAGACCCAGGGTTTTCTTTCTTAATCCAGCTAGTGCTACCTATACTGGTGTGGCGAGGGAACCTGTAGGTCACCTGAGGTGGTGGTGTTTGCCGACAGCGAGGCAGAGCTGGTCGTGCAGGCTTGCGTTGTGTTGGTGGGTGGTAAGAGCTCAGTCTTGTCGCAGGTTGGGTCTAAATCCAGGAAATGGGCTTAGGTTGTCTGTGGGGCTACTGGGCTGAACTCAGCGGTGCTATGCTATGCAGCTGAGCTTTACTAGATCTTCCTGTTTCCATTAACAAGGTATCTTGCTTAGAGGGGAAGCATTTAAATGCTTTAGAGAAGGTATTTTCCAATCTTGTCTTGCCATATTGTCATCGTCTTTTTTTTTTCCCTCCAAAAACAAAACAGTCCCTTCATAGCTCTAATACATTTTTTTGCCTCACCGTATAAATGTTCTTTGCTTCTCCTTCCCTACTACCTATTGTATTTTCTTTCCTGTTGCCCTCCATGCTTTTAAGTGGCACATATTTGAAAGTGGGTTTGTTTTCTGTCGCAAAACAGAGCTGAGCAAAGAAGCGGTGTTATTTATCTTCTAATCATCCGGAGCCTTCAGCTTCTGGAGTGGCAGTGTGTAATATTAAAATGTTGGCTTCTGTTAATTGGCAAAACTGAGGTATTCTAATAAAAGATCCTACTAAAACTGTTTCATTACATCTATTACTGTTAAATGTTAACTTTCAATTTAGACTATATGCTGGAAACAATTGGAATAGAAACACTTCTATAATTAAGAAGTTATTAAAAAGTCACTAAAATCCTCCTTTTGCATACTTATGTCATTTTATACTTTCATCTGTGTGTCTTAAGGCTCTAATGGCACTAGAAATGATATCTTGCCATGCATCTCGCCATAACTCCCATTGGTATGCTGTAAGGTAGCATTAAGAAGATCATTAAGAGCATAGTCTCTTTATGTTCCCATAAGCTTTCCATTAATTTTCATTTAGAGGTCTAAGCTACAGCAGAGTTAATATTTACAACAAGATAATACATTACTAACAGAAATGTGAAGCACGCTTACTCTTCTTGGTTTATTAATATTACTATCTAGGCACAGATGTGTTTTCCTAAGATTTTTTGCATGCTGGAGACGTGCAAACGACAAGGGCGCTCAGAAGCTTGCTGGAAATGCTCGAATTCCCCGAAGCGTGCTGGCCGGCGAGCTGGGCTACACAGCGCACAGCCTGCCCCCACGCTGCTCCCAGACGTCCCCTGGGAGCGCTGCAGGAGCCATAGCAAGCAGGCTTTACTGGAGAGACGCATAACATATGGACTGCCTGGTAACACTTTTGCTGAGCCCGCTGTGCAGCTACGACTCGGTTTTAGCAGTTCTGCGGGCCCAGCAATGAGCCCTGAGGTTACAGCCCATGCAGAGTCGGGAAGCGGTTTGTGTTTGCCAGGGTGATTGAATTGGCCTTTCTGCAAATTCAAGCATGTATTGCTATGTTTGGTGATAGAAAGCTGGAAGGCTAGATTCAGATGTAGCTGCAGGCCCCCAGAGGCTGGTACTCCAGGCACGGACCTACTCTATGTTACCAGGCTGCTTCCTTTATTTCCTGCTAGGGAGAGGGACTATGCTATTCTTCTGAGATGGAAGAAAATAAATATGCTGTTGGAATCAAAAATATTTGCCTGTATTTGCTACAGTCTGAAGAAACAGGTGTTAACTTGCATCAGATAGGAAGGTAGACGGTTTCATTGACTCAACTTGTTTCTCACTGTTGGCTCTGTTTCCTGTGCCTTGCTCACAGATCCATTTTTACCAAGTCTATTTTTAATGTTTCAAAACTGAAAGCAGTTTTAAACAACTGTTTCTTTAAAAGCTGTCACGAAGCTGAGGAAAATGAATGTTTCTTTTAATCTAGCCGCAGGCTGCCCATCTGATCATAGGCTGTGCTCTTGGTAAGGATAGGGATCCTGCTTTGATTCAGAAAGAGCAGAGAAAGGAAGATGGGGCAAGTATTATTACTTAATGCAGCATCTAGTTTTATTGCGTGTTGGTTGCAGCTTGAGCGAACTTTTGCAATAACATTAAATATGGTTTTTTCATCAGGCCTACAGGGTAACTATTACAGAAGGGTTTTTCTTTCTTTCTTTTTTTTCTTTTTCTTTTTTTTTGTCTGAAAAACCTTCAGGACCAAGCACTTATATTTTGTATGCTGTCATAGCACATCTCTCTGGAGCACTGCTCCATTTGTGCCTAGGATCACTAAATAGTAGTATAATGAAAGGAGAAACAAATGGTGAATGACTCTCAATTGCCTTTGTGTTGTGCTAACTGCACTAAGGTATTTGTTTAAATGAAAGCTTTTAGCATAAATAGCTATGCATACAGAAACCAATTAAGGTTTTGAGAGGTCTACCTAAAACCTCTATTTGCTTCCACAACAGCTGTAAGAATGAAATAACCACAATAGTCTGACAGGAACCATATGCCCTTTCTTATGTTAGAGTAATAACAATCAACTTGTAGCACATTATTGCGGTAGTGTTGAAATGTTTGTAAACTATGTAAAAAGGATGTTTTGCAGTAAGTCTCTCAAATGCTGAAGAACTCCAGCAGTGTTTAATTGAAAGCTTAATCTTTAAAAACGCTGTCAGCTCTGGTTATAACAAGAGAGAGAAGTATCATGTTAATCGATAAGTCTATTATAACTTTCTCTGAAGTACATAATCACTTGGTTTGGTTTGTGAATATATGTAAGCTATGTCTGGAAATAAACCTCTAAATGTCTCATATTTAAGTGGAAAGGAAACTTTTCCTGGGGAAACCATCTGAAACTGTTGCTCACCACTTTATTT